TCAGCCTCAAAACTCAAGTCTACATGTCACCACAGTAGGACAAACCGACAGACAAGTTTGTCTTGCTGTTGGAGACCCCTCGTATCACCCCCAACTGGGTCCCTGTGGCTGACTGTACCCCATCTGGCTTCCTGGTTTTTAATTCTCTTTCTCCTGCTCTTCTGACCTGCTGTTTTGTGCGTCCCTGTGTTGTCCCTGGGGCTGACTGCTCCGCTGTCCGGGTTCCTGGCTTTTTATCCCCTTTCTTCTGCTCTTCCGGCCTGCTGCTCTGGGCGGGCCTGAGCTGCCTCTCCTCACCTAATCCCTTGGCTGACTGCTCTTCTCTCTGGCTTCCTGGCTTTTAATACCCTTCCTCCTGCTCTTCCTGCTTGCTTCTCCTGGCGTCCCTGAGTTGTCTCTCCTCACCTGTAACCCTGGGACTGACTGCTCTTCTGTCCCAGTTCCTGGCTTTTTAGACTACAGCCTGTAAAGACTACAGCCTACGAAACCCATGGGCCAGTTTTACTCTGTCCTATAGGAGCTCTGGTAGCTTAGTGCCTAAGGCACCTGACTGCTAACCAGAAGGCTAGCAATTCAAACCCACCAACCACTCCTCGGAAGGAAGATGGGTCAATCTACTTCTGTAGTGATACTGCCTCGGAAACCCAAGGAGGGGTCACTATGAGTCCGGCGACTGGACCCGGCACATAACAACAATATGGACGGCACATGAGAACAATATGGTGTCACTGTGAGTTGGAATCAACTGATGGCAATGGGTTTTGTTTTGTTTTTTATGGTGTTTTCTCACAGTGTTCAGGATAAATTCAATCTCCATAGCATTGTATTCCAAACGCCTGTGCAGTCTTCGCCTCCATGCAATCTGCACTTCAGCCGCAGCAAAGCACTCAAAATCCTAGATACATACGCTTATAAATAAGCACTTGCTGAAAAAAACGTGGCTAGGATTCACCCATTTATCCCCTGTCCATTGAAATATTCTCCATCCTGCATGCCTTGGACGGGAACTCCCCGGTTACCCCACTCCGGCTTTCCGAGCTTAACAAGTAGTGCGTGGAGCACTCCCTCCCTCGTGTGTGCCCTCATGTACTCTCCGGTCCCCGCCCCTTCTACTTACTGATGCTGGAGCGCGCCCCCCAACTCGGATGGAGCCGGAAGAGGAGGGGCTCCGCGCGGCACCAGGAGCGCCATTTTGGCTGAGCTGGCCGGAAGTGGCCCGGCGAGCGGGCGCGGATTGAGGCTGCGCGGCGGTGTACCGCAGCTCTTGGACAGCGGCTGCGCTGAGGTAGGTGTTCCGACCTCTTTGCGTCGTCCCCCAGCAGCCACAAAGCCTCTTCTGCCATTTCTGCTAGTCCCCCTCCCTCCGCCCTCGCCGTTGTCCAACCCCTTCGCCGGGGCTCGCGCAGCAGCGCGCACACCTCTCCGCCAGTGTGCGCGTTCTGTACTTGCCTGCCCGAAAACATGTCGCAGGCGCCCGAAAGCGGAAATAATCCCCATCCCTCAGGCCAAGGGGTAGAAAAGTGGCAGCCATGATGGTGAGACCCAGTCCTGACTTCCTCGCAGGAGACCCGAGTCCTGCAGGATGCAGGAGAGCCCCATGGAGGACCTTCATGCCGTGAGGGTGGAAAGAGCTGCGGAGCCCTCCCTCACTTCGAAAGGTGCAAGGCCTTGGCAGCCAAAGCCTTGGCAGGGTGCAAGGGCTACCGCCTTCTGTATCGGACGGTGGCCGAGTTGGTGCAGTTTCTGGTGGTGAAGGACAAGAAGAGCCCCATCACACGCTCCGAGACGGTGAAATACGTGATTGGAGACTTAAAGGATCTGTTACCCGAGATCATCGCAAGGGCCGCAGAGCATCTGCGGTATGTGTTTGGGTTGGAGCTGCAACAGGTTGACCGCAAGCACCACACTTAAACCTGATTAACAGGCTAAAACCTCTTGAGGAGGAGGAGGACCTGGGAGGCGATGGTCCTAGATTTGGGCTCTTGATCTTGGGCCTTATCTACATGAAAGGTAATAGCACCAGGGAGACCCAAGTCTGGGACATACTGCGTCGGTTAGGGGTATCCCCTCAAAGTATCATTTCCTCTTTGATTACCCCAAGAAGGTTGTTATGGAATTTTTCATGCAGTAGCGATACCTCAGTTACAGGCGGGTGTCTCACATCAGTCCACTGGAGTATGAATTCTTTTGGGGTCCCTGAAGCAGCCTGGAAACCAGCAAGATGAACGTTCTGGATTTGTGGCCAAGCTCCATAAGAACCCCAGTACTGGCCAGTGCATTACCAGAAGGCCCTGGCAGATGAGGCCAACAGGACAGAGCTGAGGCCAGTGTGAGGGTTAGGGCCGGCAGCCATCTCTTGTGAGGGCTGGTGGAAAAGTGGCCATTGGGCCCTGTCTGAGCTCCTGAGTCATGAGTAGAAAAGGGGGCAGTGAGAGGCATTATTTCTGTAGAAATTGTATTTGTGTAATTTCAGAATTGAGTTTTGTATTTTGCTACATTTAATAAACTTAAATTGCTGTTTATAAATGAGACTGATGTGGGTTTGTTTTGCAGGATTTTGGAGGTTTTTTGCTGATTTTGTAAAATGAATTCAAAAACTATCTTATTCTGTAATGCTGTTCCTTAGTGACTTGAAAGAATTCAGTAGTATGATGATCTGGTTTCAGTAAAAAAAAAAAAAAAATGGTGTCTAGCAAACCAATACTTTCCATTGCATATTAAAAAAAAAAAAACAGACTATTTGCTTAGCCATTATAGGATCTAGAGGGAAGTTTTGAAAAGAAAAAAAAATCCAGTAATTAGAAGCATATGCTGGTACCCTTAATAAATAGTTGTTGAGCATCATCTTTTGTGTGATACACTGTTTTGGGCGCTGGGGATGAAGTGTTGAATGAGGTAAGGGTCCTGCCTTTCAGTGTTGAAGAGTAAGTGAATAAACTAGAAATTTCACTGTAGGGAGTTGAAGGCTACAAAGTGATGCAGAAGAGGGACCCCTAACCCAACTGAGGTTATCTTTAGTCAGACCTGAAGGGAAGGGAAGGAGGTGGGAAAGCTGGGGTGGGGAATTAAAAATGACTTATGATGACAAATACACCGTGAGAAGAAAACTTGATATGTGATATAGCTAGAAAATATCCTTGTCACTGGCTGTTTTCAGGGTAATTTATTACCATGCACGCATTCTGAAGGTGTGAATTAGCACTTTGGCCCTCTCTGTCTCCCTTCTCTCAATCTCTACAAGACTCCCTCGTACTAAAGCCCTCAGAGACCAGAGAATGTAACTATTCTGGATTATGTAGTATGGGTACCAAAACCAAACTAAACTCACTGCCATTGAGTTGAGTCCAACTCATAATGACCCCCATTGGGTTTCCAAGGCGGTAAATCTTTATGGAAGTAGATTGCCCCATTTTCCTTCTGCAGAGTGGCTAGTGGGTTTGAACTGCCAACCTTCTGGTTAGTAGTCAAATGCCTTATGCACCGTGAAACCAGAGCTCCGCGTAGTATGGGTGGAGGCACATTATATCTCCCAGTACCAAGAAGTTCCATTTCAAGATCTCTCCCCTGGTACCAGGAAGCCAGGGTCCTAATCTGCCTTTCTATGTGCTGTTTTCTACCTGACACTTCCTGTTTGAGGAGACAGGTAAGACATCCCTCAAGTACTTATTAGTTATGAAGGGTCATCTCCTTATGCGCTCTGGCCTTTGCATTGCCAACCACCTGCTCTTGGGCTAACTCCTGTAGAATAGATACACGGAGCAATAGCAAACCTATGGGAGGGGTGACCAAGCCATAAATGGTGGTGGGGGATTGCAAAACTGTCTGCCATAAACAGAAAAGCTGCTTCTCCCTTGAGTACCAGTCTTTTCTGCTTCTAGTTGTGTCCATATAGTATTTCTGAGTATGTTAGGGTTGGCATGGAATACAAATTACTTTGGGGCACAGGCTCAGGGACCTAGCAAATCAGATTGTGACAAAAAGCTATCAGTTGTAGGCAAAAAGTTTACTAATGATTAATGACTTCTGGGCAGTTTATAATTCATTAAACAAAAATATTGAGTGTCCCCATGCACCCAGGACTGCTGGGTGCCAAAGTTATAAAAATGAAAAGACTTACCTTTTCTCACAAGGAACAATAATAATTTCTCACGTTTATGGTTTTCTCACAGCTGCTGAATGACCAGCAGAATGGGCACCTGAGGGTCAGATTACTTGATGAGTTGCCTGAGGTCACCTGGCTAATAAAAGGCCACCCCAAGACTAGAACCATACTTTCTTGCCCTACCCCCGATCCAGTGTCTGTTTCAATATGTTGTGCATGATTTTATCCAACAACATCAAGAAACAAGTGAGGCTTGTGTAATGATTTCCATTTGCCACTGCAGTCCTTATGGGAATGAGGTAGAGTAGAAATACTCCCTGTTTGCAGAGACAGAGGTAGCTTTGCTCAAGGTCAGACACATAGTAGATGGCAAAGACAGGACTATCATTTATGAAACACTTGTTACAGGCCAAAGGCATATTTTTTTCCTACTTTTCACAACCACCTAAATAATACTAAATAACCCCAATTTATAGATACTAATGTTTTTAAATGAGTCATCTCCAACTCCTGCTGACCCCATGAATGGACTGAATGAAACACTGCCAGTTGTGTACCATCATCATGATCGTTGGTATGCTCGAGTCCATTGTAGGCTACTGTGTTTTGGATGCCTTCCAACCTAGGGGGCTCATCTTCCAGCACTATATCAGACAGTAGTCTATCGTGATCCATAAGGTTCTCGTTGGCTAATTTTCAGAAGAGAATCACCAGACCTGTTTTCCTAATCTGAGTTGAACATTCTACTGAAATCTGTCCACCATAAACGATCTTGTTGGTGTTTGAAATAATGGTGGCATAGTTTCCAGCATCACAGCAACACACAAGCCACCACAGTACAAGACACTGGTCATGGAATTAAAGTAATATGTGCCTTTTATTCAATACCTAATGTTCTGGTTCCCTAGTGCCGCTCTGACAAGAAATATACCACAAATGGAATGGCTTTAACAAACAGGAATTTATTCTTAAAATTTGGAGGCTTTAAGTCCAAGTTCAGAGTGCCAAGCTCTAGGGGCTGGGTGAAAGCCCCTCAACCTTGGGGTCCAACTCTGCCTCCTGCTCCTGGCCCACTGGAGCTAGAGGAGTTTCTTCACTCAGACAGCTGTTGGCTGCTGATGCTGAGAAGCCCCAAGATTGACAAGTCAAAAGGCACAGTCCCAATGTTACTAAACCACATGGCAGGCCATTAACTTAAGTCCACTGTTAAGTCCCAAGGTCGGCAGAGCATAGCAGGCTGCTGAGCAAATGACACGATTACATGCAGGGTCCAAGCGAGGCATAGGCTAGAGACCACTCCTAAAGGCTTCTGCTTAAATATAGGAAGCAGACCACATACCCAAAGGCAACTAACTACTCAGCTGCTCCCAGTAGATTCTACCATGAAGTTGGTTACCAGTCTTATCATGGGGAATACTACATCCAGCTGTCCAGCCACTTGACCAGGCCTAGCCAAGTTGATACACAAACATCACCACCACACCTAAGATAAACCAGCTTTTTTATGCTTTATACATGTTTTAATGATTTTTTACTACCTTACAAGATAGATAGCATCTGCCGCATTTTATAATCATACTAGACTCAAAAAGTTATAAAATTTGCACATCTCACAGATAGTCTATGACAGAACAAGGATTGGAACTGAAGTTTGGAGTCGAAAGCCCACACTTTTCACTATTTCACATTTTCTGCTTCTCGAGACTTCTTCCACACTTGGGTCATCTGCCTCCCAACTCATGCTCTTTCTTTAAGACATCCCCTTCTCTCTGGAGATACAAACAAGGGCTGTGTAGCCAAGAAAATGTGTAGCCTGTAGAAGGGTAAAAATGAGCTAAAATGGAGAATTAGCTGGGAACTTCATTGGCCCTACTCTACCTGCTCTCTCCCCAGGGTTCTCAGGGTGCTGACTACCTGTATAATGTGTATTTTTGCTCAAGCTCAGTATATTTTTTCCCTTATAGGGCATCTTCCCTCAGTCTTACTTAGTCTGCCCTCACCACTAAGTCTTTAAGCTGCAGAGCAAATAAATAGCATTTGTGGTCCTGCAAATATGATTCCCAGAGTTGTTCTCAATCCAGATGGTACAGAGGCTGGCAGAACTTAAACTGTGCCTTAGTGGGGGGCCTTGGGATGCAGGACCAGAAAGGAAAACTATTTCCCATGTCTCAGATGTCATCATCAACTTCTCAGAAGTACCAAGAGGGTGACCTCTGGGCCCATGTGCAGAACAGACATTGGCCATGGTGAGGACAGGAGATGACTTCTCTTGTTGCTTACAGTCATTCACATGAGGGAGAAAGAAGGTCTGGCTCGCCCTCCCCCTCCTCTCTCTCCAGGTGCAAACATAGAACTAGATCTTCCTGGGTGAAACAGTGGGAGTGGAGTAGTGGTGGTAGATGGAGTCCTCCAAATCATGAAGTACAACTGGAAAGTTGTTACAATGCAACTAGAAAGCAAAGCCACTGAGGGACACTCCCTTGAAGAGTCTGAACCAGCCACAGACTCTGCAGGGATCTTGATACGCTTCAGATTCAGGACTTGGTGGCCCATTGGGACTTGGAGAATGGGTGTTTGGAAACAGGCTCAGGTTGATTACAGTCCCATCATGTGAAGGTGGCAGCTCATTTATAGCAAATCAGGCCTCGATTCACAGGCTCAATCACGGTTTCCACTTCTCAATTATGCTTCATGCCTTGGTCATGGTGGCATTTGATGCTTGCGCAAATTATTCCTCAAATTGTACAGCCCAGCAGAGAAGGCAACAATTACCTCCAGCAGAGACACAGTGCACAGACTAGGGAGGCATTCTGAAAAGTGCCCTAATCAAGGCCTTTTAAAAGTTATGACTATAAGACCTTGACCAAGAAATTCTAAACCCTGAGGACTGAAGAACTATGAAAGAATTTAGTGGGTGATTGGAGCAGGGATGGGCTAAAATCCACACCTCACCTGACATCCTATCAGCTGATTTCAGACCCTACCCAGTTCCCCAGCCACCCATGACTGATAAAAATAGCACTTAACATTTATTAAGCCTTATGTGCCAGGCATGGTGCTAAGTGACAACCACATTGTCTCATGGACCCAAACGGCAGCCCTATGAGATGGGTTCTCCATTTCCCAACATTAAGGAAACCACAGGAAAGAATAATTCCCTCCATTCTTTCAATGCACAAGTTAAATAACTTGTCCAAGTTCGTGACAGGTAATGATTGGCAGATCCAGAACTTGAACCTAGATCTGGGTTCTTGCTGGCA